CCAGTTAACTACTATTAACCTTTATAAACACATTCTCTTAAATATAAGGCCTCACAATGATCTGCCTCCGAAAGCCCAGCTGTCAGAGACTCCCCTGATCAGGGTAGAGATTATAAATTACTTAAGCGGAAAGATATTTTACAGATGATACTATCCAATCCATTCATTTTGTAGATGAAGAAACAGATGTGCAGAAGTATTAAAGGACTTCCCAGTCTGCTTCTATATATTTTTGCTCGGTTAAGTATTTCTATTTGTTCTGTGCCTAAACCCTTTTAGGAGAGGACCTGTTAGTTAGGTAATTAAGGCTTGCTCCTCAAATTAGAATGTTCCTCTCTAATCTGGTAGATGAACAGGAAGTTGTTTCCTCTTTGCTTTTTAGCTATCACTAAACAAACATTTCCCTCCTTGGTTTTCTTCCTGCTTTTCTCATAGCCAATCAGGAGATTTGGGGGTTCATTAAGTAGATAGGACAAATCACAAAGTCCTTGCTTCCCTTCAGCTATATCAGCATATTGTTTCAGGAATATTATAGTTTTTTTTTTCTTGAAATGATTCTTTGATCTACACATTAACATTTTAACTGATAATAAATATGTACTTCCCTAGAAATGTTCATAAATGAATTGTAACCAGGCCAGGACTTTCGTGATCTAGGGAAGCAAAAGTTGCCACTCCCAAATCTCCTTGGCATGCAGATTATTTCAAGCTGAAAACAATTAAGGCCCAAAAGATTCAGAAAGAAGCTTTAACCTTTCCCTTAACTTCCTAAAAAGAAACTATATAGAGAGCCTATTTCCAGAATAGAGAAACCTCCAGAGACATCTGGAGAATAAGGGCCAGGCGTGGTGGGGGAAGTTCTAGGCAGAGTCTAAAGATCAGGGTCCACTCTGTGTCCCACTGACCCTACCTGGCCTAGCAAACACTTGTTTACAAAACACCTGCTTTTCCATCTCCATGTCAACTACCTTCCTCCCCTTTGAAGTCCCAAACCACTATCCCTAACATCCTCTTCTGTTTTTAGATGAAGATGGTAATTAAGGTGAAGGTTTCAGCCATGTTGGTGAGTTACTCAATTTTCCTGGGTCTTTCCCATGAATACATGTTATTGCACGTTTGTGTGATTTTCTCCTGTTAATCTGTCTCATGCTAATTTAATTCTTCAACCATCCAGAAGGACCAAGAAGGGCAAAGGAAAATTTCTTCCTCCCAATGCTGGGGAAATATAAGGCAAAATGTAGGGCTGGCACACAACACTGTCTCTTAGATGGCAGCAATCCTCAGCATGAAGGTTTCCTAGATACTTAGGAAGGGAAGAATCTTTCAGGAGGAACTAAAGGATTTGAGAAGAAGCTTCTTAATTGAATGGAACTGAGAGGAACAAGAAGAGAAGTCAGTACTTAAGCAGACCAGAGTTAGGAAGAGAAGGTGGGGTGTTCCACGCCCCACAGGAACCTGACTTCAGGCTTTCTAGGAAATAAGTAAAAATCTATGCTATAAAACCAGAAGGGAGGTGAGGTTTGGTAAAGTCATTGACCAGAAACTGCAGGATAGATGACAATATAAAATATTAGTCACTCAATAAATATTTTTGATTAATTGAATTATAAATTTTGACTTATTTTATGAGACTATTTGGCTGATTTTAGGCTTGGGGATCAGAAAGGCATGAGTTTGAATCCCAGATGCACTACTTACCATCTGATTTGGCACCAAGGATATTAGCTAACTTTCCTAAGACTCTATTTTCTCCTCTGTAGATGAAATTTACTAAGACCTACCTCATTCAATTGTTTCAAAGATGTAATCATTTAAAATTTGTCATTATTGACTTACTGTCTGACATGGAATGCCCTACCATTATTCTGTTTGAGGTGATGAGGTTAAATGAAGAAAACAGAGAGGTATATTTCATTATCACAAGCAACAGCCTCTAAAAACATTTACTGAACATGTATTAGACTGTGATGCTGCACCGTGTATAGCACTGAGGAAATGCTGGTTGCCTTTTACTGTTTGGGTGGTAGTTTTCTTTAAAACCTTTTCTGAGTTCAAAAATAAAAGGGCTTTTCTGACCGGACACTCTCATCAAGGGAAAAGATTGAATGTCTCATCAGGCAGTACACCCCTGACTGTTTTAAGTACAACTCCTCCTGGAGAACTCTTAGTTTTGCTCACTGAACCACAAAATTAAAGTACCATGGAAGAAATCCCGAATAGCTACAATGCCAAAATATGTATCACACGATACTGAAAGGCTTCAAAATCACTGTATTTACAAAAGGGTTTAACAGATGAAATAAATGAAAGTTTTATGGTCTAAGAAAGGAAACACAATTTTAGTTAACTAGCACTTTTCTACTGTTCTAAACCTTTTAATGGGTGCAGAGGGAATTTGCACTTACTGAAGTAGATCAGTGAAATGATAATTTGTCTTTGAATAGAGTACTTTTATTCCATTAATTTCTGCCATTATGGTGGGAGATAAGATGTAAGTCAATGACTAACTGAAAATTAGAGTCCAAAAAAGAGGAAGAGAAACAAAAGAATAGCTTATGTCACACTATATGATATGTATGACAAAATGAATTTTATATACCCATTTATTACAATCATTTAATGTCAATTATATGCACTTACCTGGTCTTGATTTGTCTTTATAGTTATTACAAATCAGTCCCTTAAAAAAGCTATATTGTCTTTTTTGTTATAGTTAGAGAACAAAAGACATGATCTAGAGCAGATACAGTAGAGAAAAAACAAATAGGTTAAAAGATGAAAAGAATAAGTAAAGCTAACTTTAAGACCTTGAACTGGATATTTATTCCTTAAAATTATAACATTTCCCTTCATCCGTTTCCTAGACTAGGTACGGAAGAACAAAATCAATGCCCGTTGAAAAACAATGATAACACGGAGAAAATACCCAGAATACTAATTTGGATAAATGACATTTTAAAATTCAAAAAATGTTTGCTGAAGGTAAATTAGTAATGAGTGAGTTACAACCCGGGAAGATTATTAGATAAAATTTTAAATGTTATTATAAAACATTTCAGACGTATGAAAACCATAAACTAACACACGTGCCCACATGGGCAGTACCCGTCGTAAGAAAGAAGACAGCATCAGTGCAGGTGGTTCTGTGTGTACCTTGCCAGAACATCTTTCATCTCTTCTACACACGGGCAACCACAGCCATGAGTTTGGTGTTTATCATTCTCATGAATCCCTAAATAATTCACACCCACACGTGAACACACAATTCTTCTCCCTTGTATTTTGCCTCATTCTTTCTTCTTTTCTAACTTCAAAATGTGGGTGTGTGGCTCATTAATTTTCAGCCTTTATTCCTTCCTTATAAACATTTTTAAAGCAATAAATTCTTCTCTAGTTACTATTTTAGATGGGCCTCTAAAGTTTCGGTATCTAATTTCTCATTGATCATTCAGTCCCAAATATGTTCACTTTCCCATTATGACTTTTGATCAGTATGCTATTTGGAAGATATTTAAGTTATCTTTTAAAACTGATTACTAACTTTATTAAAATTGACACTGCACTTATATTAAACCAAATATTTGAAATTTTGATGAGTACTTATGGCCTAGTATAAGGTCAATTTTTGTAAATGTCCCATGAATGCATGTGAAGAATGTGGCCACTGACATTTTAACATTCTAACATGTGTGTAGGATATTTCATTGTGGATTTAACTTGTATTTCCCCAATTACTAACAATGTTGAGTAGTTTTATCATGTGTTTATTTGTCATCTATATATTTTCTTTTGAAGTAACTATAAAATATTTTACTCATACTTGAGTTTTTGTTCTTTAAAAATTCTACAAACAAGACTTCTAACATATATGTGATTTGTAAATGTGGCCTATTTTTCATTCTTTTAACAGTGTCCTGAAGAGCAGAGGTTCTTAATTTTGCTAAAAACTAATTTCAACATTCTAATTTGTATATCATGTGTTCTTTCTCATTTGTGTATTGTGTTTCTAAAAATCTTTGTCCAATTCAAGGACACAAACCTTTTCTCCTGTGTTTTATTCTAGAAATTTTATACTTTTAGGTGATATATTTTGGTTTATGATCTGTTTTGAGCAAATTATCATATCAGGTACATAGTATAGATTGAAATTCATTGTCTTCATATGTACATCTGACTGTCCCAGCATATATGTTGAAAATACTACCCTTTCTCCACTGAAATGCACTTTGAGACCTTTGTTTACTTTAAATGGGTAACTATGCATGATGGTACACGGTACTACACACATATTACAAAACTTTCTAAGTGGTAAAAATGACTTATGAGACAATGAATGGCATTAAAATGGGGAACAAATGAAAAAAATGGTCAGAAGTTCTCAAATGGACTAATATTAAGTTACAGTTCAGAAAAATCTCCTACCTGTTTATCTCCACAAGACAAATATTCTTTGTCTGAAAGGTAATAAATTAACTTTCTGGGGTCAGGGATTTAATTAGATAATCCTATCCTATCCCAGGAGCTCTGTGATTCTTAGAAGAACAAGGAGTGAACATCCCTTTCCAAATGCCTGTCATTAGAACGTAGGTCATGTTCTAACTTGTGAAATCATTATATCTTCAAAACTAAATTTATTAAGATTCATGTTTGAGAAAACTCTGATTGTTTATCTGCCTTTGGCATCTATAGATTGTGAATCAAATGCGACAGCCTGGTAAGAAATAGAGCTCAAATACCAAGAGAGATAAAGATTGTTTTGATACTAATTAATGTTGCCAGATTGAAAGCTTACCTGTGTGTGATTCCTGTTAGGCTCCAGGCTCATTAATCACTTACATTTAGTGAGATTCTCCTGAGAGATGCTGCCATGTGTTAAATAAATATTATGTGCAATTTTAAAAGTAATAATTTTCTCCCAAACTGAGCTCAAGTCATCCTTCAGGGACATGTGCACAACCCACAGGTGTGATCAGAATCCCCAAGATTAAGCAGAAGCAGCTCTAGTGAGTTATCAAGAAATTTCCTTCACTGTTTCTCTGGGATTTGCTGCCACCTTTACTGTCTGAAGTAGAATCAGATCTATTCTGATATCTGCAGCTTTTGCTCCTGAGTCTGTCATTTATAGTATTTATGGTCTAGCCATTCACTCCTAAAATACAGATGCCCCTGAAAAGTAGATAAAATTAAGCTCCTCCCATCTTAAAGGATGTATTCTTAAGCTGGAATTTACAGCCATTGTCCCTCAGTAGCCCCTCAAAAAGCCATCAAATCCATGAAAATGCCAAATGCTGTGTTCAGGAGCGTGTTCATACCATCAGGTATATATCAAGTCCCTAAGCGAGGAAACATTAAGAAGCGCCACCTTGGGAGGGCTAGTTCTATGAAATGGCTTTCCAGGTGAGTGGCTTTAGTCATTTAGTACTAGATCAAGGATATTTCATATTTTTTCACTGTGCTTATGATCTAATGGGAATGTCGACATAACACTGCATAGTACTGTTGTCTTGTAATTTACCTAACACCTCCTTTATTTCCATTTGCTATCTTTTGTTATTTCCCTATTACAAATACCGTTTATCATATGTATTTCATGTCTGTGTTTTGGTACAATTCCCCAAAGTTGATTAAACGAACATTTTCTGCAGTTCAGTGATAATTAAACTGCTTTTAAACAAAATCTTTATTTTCCTAAAAGGAGAATTGTCTTACACAGTGTACGCCTGACCCTCCTTCCAGAATCTATTTCAGTGAAACAGCTTTGCAATGACCTATCTAGGCATTATTTGAGCTGTTCCCCCTGGGCTTCAGGCATACTGCCAAGTGAGAAACTTACCTGACTTTCGAAGACCAGCTTAGCCAATTTAGCTCTATTGCAGGAAAAGCAGGCATTCAAGTCCACAGTCAATGGAAGTGCAGTTACGGAGCTTCCAAGTCCCCGGTGCTCCTGGCAAAGGAGGGCAGCAGCTACCTACGAAGAGGATATTGCCTTCATTACCCCTGCTTCTGCCGGGCAAAAGGAAGTTTCAGTCCAGGACCTGATGAGATTCTGATAGAAGTCAGGCTCAAATTCTGACTTGGGTACCTGAGGCAAGGTTTCCAATGATCCTCTAGCTATGAAAAGTCGTGTCAGGTACTGGTCAAGATCATGTGACTAATCAGAATGCAATACATACGGAAATAAGATAACACACAGCAAGTGCTAAGCACTACGCAATATACCTAACCTGTACATATGAGCAAAATGTGGCCTCTGTGTGCTCCACGTACAACATTTAGTGAAGAGAGAGGAAATGAAAGTTAATAACACCACAGGAAGACTGCTATCATCAGACGAAGAACTTGACAAAACTTTACGAAAACTACAAATGTAAATGAATTTTAAGTAGTATAAAATTGTTCAAGATAATTACAATAGAGTTTGAATTGATTGGTTGCTTGGCAGAACGAATAATCTGATCTCCCTAACCTCAGCTCCAGAGCACCCCCAGAAATGGCTTCAGGACACGGACTTTGAAAGCAACATTCTGCAGCCATCCAAACACCCAGTGTGCCAATAGTGTCTGCTCACGTTTCTCTCTTCTTCGCTTTCTTTTTCTATCTAGGAAAAGAAGGTAGATCCTTCTTGGGAGAAATCTAGGCATCCTTGTTAAAATAAACATGTTAAAATGCCCCTTCTTACTAGGCACTGTACTTCCTCAGCACAGAGTCTGGGTTGTATTAACTCTTTGTAAGTGATGTCATCTACCACAGTAATTGATACTATTCAGTGAATAGTTTACAAATGAATGAATGAACGCACACATGCCTGGACTTCTTCCCAAGTATAATGTTGAAGAGAGCTGCCAAATGTTTAATTTAACTGTGCAACAGGGTGGTTTCAGTGTCTATAGCATGGGTATACTTTACTATGTTGACAGAACTTAGGCCTAAACTGTTAATAAGAATTGTATTCATCGAAAAGTTTCAGGCACGATTTGACAAGTATACTCCACCATAAGTTTTCTTGGTCTCTTAAAACCCCTGTATAAATAAAACAGTTCAATACATGTACTTGGAATTTAAACAATGGGGATATTCTTCTGGACTTGAACCATATCATATACACATAATGGCAAATTTATGAAAATAAATAAACTTGGATATTAACTCCTTTTTCTAGTACAAAAAATGTCCCAGTCTCAGGCTGAAAGAGCTGAGTAGAGATTTGGGCAGCTGCCTGGTGCTCGGACTACACCACAGTTTCCTCTGCTGAGGATTCAAATGGGAAAATAGCAACAGGTATTAACTGAAATAAGTTATTCTGTCAATGCAGTAACTTCTTCCTTTGGATAATGTCACATTTTGCTTTTCAACGTAGCAAACTAAATTTTCACACAAATATCTGGAAATTACATTTTGTTAGAGAGTTTGAATATACTGTTAAGCAAAATGAGTTTAAAAAAAATTTCTAATGGAAGTACTGAGAATTAAACCTAAGATCTCATGCATGCTAACCATGCGCTTTACCACAGAGCTGTACCTCACCCCCCCGAAAATGTGTTTAAATTTACATATCACAGTTATTAAGCAAAATAGTATTATTAAATTTGAGAATCGTGTTAAATATTAGCCTGGAGCAAAATTTACTTTAACGGGCATTTTGACAGATACTTAACTAAAGAAGTGATATTATACCTCTAACTGCATGCTTACCCAAAGGGCATATAATTTTTACTGAACAAAATAATGTAGAGGTGAAATGATCATTCTCAGAAAGTTGACTGAGTATTGGCAATAATTCAGTATTCAAGTATCCATATGCCCTAGGAAATATCATGGGGTTTAGATCTCTGATACATTAAAAATAGTACTAAGATGTGCCACATTTCACTGCATTAATTCCTCAGTAATTTGATTTTCAAAACAGTGGAAGGGAAGTAGACTGCCGCCTATTTGAATGGTTTAGTTCGTGTGTTAACAAACTCTGATTTGCTGTGTTCCACTTCATGCATATGCAGTACAGAGACATGATATTGTTGTAAACAGTGCAGAGATTCATTACCTCTCGTATAATAAAGGTCATTTAATTTCTGAAATTAAGTCATTATCTGGTTCCCTCTAGCAGCTACTTTTCGAGAGCACCTCTCTCTCTCTCTCTCTCTTCACCTCATCTCCTTACCACCCCCGACGGCCAGTGGGTGGCCTGCATTTCCTGGTCCTGCTTCGGGACAAGGACTGGGAGATTTGGTGCTGTGTTACCCTCAGAATTTCCGAATGGTTGCGTATTGGGACTCTAATCACTCCCGCTGTAGAACTGGTCCATTCTTAAAGATGAATATTTTGTTAACCTCCTTGCTTAATTTCCCACATTCCTCTCCTAGTTTTCAGACATCTGGTGTTTCTCAAAGAAAGTAAAATGTTATGAAATGTGACATGAGACTGTTAAAACCAAAAGAAGGGTGTTTTCTCCCCATGAAGGGATGTGAAAGTAGAGCCCTAGGATACCAAATCATTTTCAGTAAATGCTTCACTGTAGTGTGTCTTAACAGTTGGATATCACATCTACATTCTGTCAACTTGTGGATGCTGAGGTAGGACAAAGAAGGGGGTGCTGAGATTTTAGGAGAGCACTCATCAGGGTTCAGTGCTCCAGCTGAGCTAGCCACTGGGTCTCATGCTCGTGGGGACAGCTGGTGGCAAGTCCCTGCAATCAGAAGCCATCACTAACAGAAAGACTCTACAGTCATTTTAATCAGTCCTTGGCAGAGCTAGCAGCAAATGTACTAAGTGGATGTATTTTCCTGGGAATTGCCACTGTGGCTCTAGGATTTAGCTTGAATTGAGGCAGCGTGATATAATGTGGAATCAGTGAACCCAATATTCTGCTGGTTCTGAGCCACATTTTGTTCCATAAAATTACTCTAATTCTTGATCTAGGGAATAGTATAATTAATTGTTTACAAGGCAGAAGGTGTATACGGTATGTCTAAGGCATTTTTTAAGTGGACCCTAGAATACTTACACAATGGTGAAGAGTTGAGAAACATGGTATTTTGTTTAAGCAAAATGTGCAAGAATTAATCTACTGAATGTTTTGAAGTTTGTTTTTTAAGTCACACATGTATGTAATTTAAAATGTCAAATCAGCCTATAAGAGGACTGTTAGCAGCAGTCCTCTGCTTCTCACTTCGCCACCCTACCCCATGCCAGTAAACATTTTTTCAGTGTCTTAGCTAGTTGATTATGTATTCAGAGATCTGTCCTGCAACTTTTAAGTAACGTGCTAATATTGCTCTCATGATTTCTTTCCATTTTCTGTATTTCCTATTGAGCTCCTATTATGGAAGATGAGAATATAATTCTTGCACACTTCTCTCCCTCACTTCTCCATCCATCTTTAAATGAAATTATATTGTGATTCTCATTAAAGCAGTATTCAGTATTTACATTATTATTACTGTTTAAACATTACTCACAGATGAGCCATGACATCATCTAGAATTACATTTCCAGTCTTATATGTTGCTTTTTTCTCTGGGGTTCATTAACGTCTCCACTTCTCCATTATCTGATTTTCCCACCTAACCATCACTAATTTCCCTCCTTAAATGCAAATCTTTTCTTAATTTATTTTTAAAAGAAGTAGAGTAATCTCTCAGTTTTTTCAATCTGGAAATGTATTTCCTGCTCTTGTAGAAAATTTATGAAACATACAAAAAATAAAAAGAATAATTCTGTGAGTACTAAGGTACTCACTGCTCAGTGTAAGAAACAAAGTTTATGTAAAATATAGAAGTCCTCATGTACCTGCCTCTGATGTATCCCGAATGACTCATGTAATCTTTGTTCCAAATTTAATGTTCATGACTCCTATTCACCATTTTACATTTCTTCCATTCTGTTGTTAAAATAAAATACAAAATGAAGACCAAATCTGAAAATTCCCTGGGCAGACAAAACTATTTAAATCATATAAGCAGAACCAAATCTAGCTTATTTCATGACTACAAACAAAACAAAAAGGTTATTTCTTATAAATGCCTCTGATAATCATAAAAGAAATTTGTCATCTTCTTAAAATGGTATCAGATGGTCACTTTTAACTAATCCCCTGCTTCCAGGAAACCCCCCTTGTATTAACCAATCATCGTAAAGGTTAAATGACTTCCTCATTTTCACTTCATAATCCATCCTGTAATGTCATGCTTCTGAGCATCACACCAGTTTGGGGTTTGAAAGCTCCCAGTTCATTATCTGTTCCTACCTACAGAATACATTCCTATTAAATACTGTTTTCCTGATCTAGTTTGAATTGTTACTATTTTGGGAATTGTAACATTGTACAAATCTTTCATTCTTCCTGTTTTTTTCACTTGATGTCACCATGTCCACGAGTTCATTTCTGTTGATGCATGTGATTCTGACCTGCACTGCTCTGTGGTGAAACCATCGTGCTGAACGTGAGTGAGCAGAGACAGTAAACATAAAGCCACTTCATTTTTGTCTTTCCACATCCCTTTAAATCCTCTGTGTTCTTCTACTACTTCCAAAGACAGAAATGAAAAATTCTGAGAGAGCCCATGTCTTAATGGAAACCAGGAAAGCGGTAAGTCACAAGACCATCTCAAATCACTGTGTAAAAAGGTTCAGTCATTGTTATTACCCAAGTCCGAATTTGATTTCAAGTTTAGGCTTCTCTTCTTTCTCAGCTTGTCTTTTTATAAGAAAGAAGCTTGCAGTTAGTCAGAAAGAAGGATGTGGCATCTTCTTAACCTTTGAACTCCTCCTCTCTCAAATCCCTGGAGGTGGGGATGCTTTCTTTCACACACAAAGCAAAGTCTAGGAGAGGTGCAGAGAGGCTCACCCCAACATTTTGAACAACTGAGCTAAAGTCAACTGCAACTTCTAGACTTTTTAATGTGATTATAATAACCCCAGTTTTTTT